CGCCGCCGAAGTCGCGCCACGTCCCCGCGCGCTGGCCGCCACGACGATCGGCAGCACCCGCACCTGGAACGATCTCTTCGACGATCCGGCCAAGCCCGTGCCCTTCACGGCCACGGCAGTCAGCAGCTGCGCCGCAGGCAAGCGGCGCCTCGTGTTCTGGGTGGACCAGAAGCTCAGCGATGCCCGCACGGTGCAGGCCGCCCAGCTGGAGCCGCTGCGCACCAGCTTCTGCGGCGACCAAGGCGGCTTCGCCCGCACGGTGGCGTTGCTGGGCGACGTCTGGGGCAGCACCGAGGTCGCAGCCCGGCCCTGGCTGATCCAGGAAACCGCCACCGACCCGCAGGACGTGCACATCGTCGTGACCGACCAGATGGGTGCCGATGGCGGCGTGGCCGGCTATTTCTACGGCATCAACAACTCGCTGCGCACGCGCAGCAGCCGCTACGTCAACTCCAACGAGGCGCTGGCCTTCTTCATCAACGGCACGGGCCTGGCGCGCGACCCGACCTTCTATGCCTCCACGCTGGTGCACGAGCTGACGCACATGGTGAACTACCACCAGCGCTCCATCCGCCGCAACACCGCGCACGACAGCTGGCTGGAGGAGTCCTCCGCGATGGCCACCGAGGACCTGCTGGCCGAGACGATCACGCCGGGCAGCAACAAGATCATCCGCACGCGCATGCCCAACTACGTGCGCTCGGGCGCCGGCGTCGCGCTGATCGACTGGGCGAGCAGCACCGACAGCTACAACTACGGTGTGGGCGGCAGCTTCGCGGCCTTCCTGAACCGCCGCTACGGCAGTGCCTGGGCGCAGCAGATCCTGGCCGGCTGCGATGGCCAGACGAGCTATGTCTGCCTGGACGGCGTGCTGCGCCGTCTCGGCGGCCAGGGCTTTGCCGACGAATGGGAGCGCATGGGCACGACCCTGTTCGGCGGCATGCCGCAGCGCCACGCGCCGCAGGGTTATGGCCTGCCGCAGACGCAGCTCGACGGCATCTGGCTGATGGGCGGCGACACCGCCGACCTGGCCGCCACGCGCAAGGCCGCACCGGTCGGCAG